GAATGGCTCGTTCTGGTATTGGAATGACCCGTTCCATCCTAGGGCTCTTTAGGTGTTTTACTGATGTTGGAATGACCGGTTCTGATATTGGAATAGCCCATTCTGGGCTTCGGAACGGTCCGTTCTAATTTTGGAACAGCCCGTTCCGGGCTTCTAAAACCACCTTATTTGGCCTTTAGGCCTTCTGATGTCCTGTCTTGTTGTTTGCTTGCTTCGGGAGCTCCTTCCCTAATTTTTGCGCAACCCCCTTAGTGGGTTTCCTGCCAGGCCTTTATTTTTTGCAAAATTTGTGATCATTTTTCATTCCTTCATTAAAGGGGGATGCCCCTTGCACAAGCTTTATTTTCGACCCGGGCAATTTTAGGGGTCTACAATGCACAAGAAATTTCTTCTAATGTTCTCGCAGTACACTTTAGGGGAATAGTGTTTTTCAAACACTAGTTTCAGATGTTGCGTGCAAGAATTGGATTCTCAGTTTTACTTGATATAGTTGACACCACTAATCCATTTATGGTGTCAATTGGAGATGAAGTTGTGATTCTTGAGGGTGTTTTTGAGTCAAAGCCACGAGGTAAAGAATGACATTTTAAGTTTCTATCCTATTAGTATTGACAAATGTTCTTCCATTGGACCTAAGTTGTTATCCAAAAGGGTATTATTAGAGAAGGTGCAAAGGTGCAAGCCTTACAAAAGGTTGGATAAGGCCAACGTGTGTCCAAACTTGCCAAGCTTAATGATAATAAGGTAGGTTATGTACAAATAAGACAATGCTTAAAAACTTATTTTATATTCCTTAACATGTATCTTAGTAATAAATTTTAATTGCAACTATATTGATATGTTTGTAAAGACATCTTATTCTCAAGTTTATTTCACTCTAATAAGGTGGGTAACCCTTCACCAACCTGTCTTGTCGGCGAAAATCATTTCAAAGAGGCTACCCAACCTCATAATCAAATGTACTAATCTGACTTGGTGGGAAAATCAATACTCCATGCAATAGTTCAAGATACACCTCATGTCCATGAACAAGATAACCTAGCAAAGATAGTAATAAAATAGACTGAAACAAAAAGGAAGAGACTTAGTGATAGAAACTACTATCAATTATGAGTAACAGAAGGAAATAACAAGAGCAGTAGTCCCCAAGCTTAGAAAATAATTCTCTAACCCCACACTATTCTGTTAAAATTTTCATAGTCCCCTCTCTCTTCCCTCCCTTCTATATCCGTATAACCTCTTTCTCCATCACTAACTCTTTTTTTTTTGTCCGCCTGAAGAGAGTTACAGGCCTCTCCTATTTTGGACCTACAATTATAAACCTGGATGGGCATAAGAGTAGTGGGACCTGTAGGGATTGGGCTCCTAACACTTTACCATCATCATACGCCACACACACCCATCTTGACACACTATATGTTGTGCGCACAAATACACACACGCACACATATACATACACTCATAGAATAACGAGCATGTCTTATTACACACATATAATAAAGAGCATGTCTTATTGCACATACACACGAACATGCCTTATTATGATGGATGAGAAGGCTAAATAATAGTTTTTACATTAAAGATAAAAAAAGAAAATTAATGGTTGAGATTAAAACTTAATTATATGTGAGTGTCTATAATTTGTTTGTATTTTAAATTAAATGGATATTACATTCATAATATAACAATAATTAATAGTTAAAATTAAAACTTAATTATAAATACTCACATAAAATCTTATATGTGAGTCCTATAATTTGTTTGTATTTTAAATATAATGGTTACATTCATGATATAAAAATAATTAATGGTTGAAATTAAATCTTAATTATAAACACTCACATATATGACCTGTTACGTTGGCACCTGCTGAGGTGGGTTCAGGGGAGTCAAATTTGAACGTTCAACATTGATGTACTTCACAAAGCAATTGAACATAATAGTAACAAATTGATGGACTCTTGTCTAACGCGAGTTTGAACAGAAATAACAAACATTCTCTAAATGTGTGCTTGAATATCTGTTGACAAGTTCTAATCAATTTAAACCGAAAAGCTTGTCTTAAAACAGATGTTTGCTTGCCCAAACATCGAGCACGCCTTTGTTATTGAAATAATCAATGTTCCCGTATCTGGAATTTACCTACGGAAATTTGAGGAGTGCAATCCGCATACAGTAGACTTGAAAGGCTATATTAATAGCTAAAAGCAGTTTGAGCATTTATTTGATCTGGAAACTGCCGTATATAACAACCAGCAAAATGCTTATTATTGAACAAACTCGGCATCAATTCCCACACAGAACACTTTGTCAGAGGCACGACAAACTAAGGATAAGAGACATGGAAGAATGCTTCAAGCATGTAATTCCTTCCTCCTTTCTCACTTAAATGAGGGCCCAAAGAATCAGAAAAACAAGAAAAATTAAAAGAGTACATTCGTTCTTTTTGAGCACCATGAATTTAATATTCTAATAGTTCAAGACTAGGATTCTTTTTTGGGCATAATTGACGGCATTCATTACATAGATGTATTCCCCACCCACAAGCCAAAATGAAGGAAAGTATATAAATAATTACCTTTCACAATGTTTCATTATTAACCAAAATGCTATAGTCATCTGGCAACTGAATTAAGAGTCCTCAATTCGAATAAACCTTACAAATTTTGACTTCATCTCTGCTGGAATTCGTACGGGACGGTAGTTTTTGTCAAGCCACACTGCTGTGGCCTTGGCTTCCAAAATAGGCTGCCACCAATTCACCAAATATCAACAAATATTCTCAAATATGGGAAAAGAATAAGACATGAGCAGTGGAGATGGACCTCTTGGCTTGGAAGCTTAAAGATGAAGTGATCAAAGTATAATCGAGCAGCTGAAGATCCAGAAATCTTAACCCTTACAACAAATTTGTCTCCACTCTGGTTGCATGTTCTTAAAATGAGAACAAATATTGGCAAACAGAACTAACTTATGCAGGACATCATATCCTTTTAGTGTACTAAGATGCATTACGAGTTTATTTACACTATCCTACTAAACAGAAATAACACGCAAGACTGGAGAGGCTTACTCTAAGAGGTGCAAGGAATTTGAACGATAATTCTGTCACAGCCAATGCATCACCACTCCGAGCCACAGCATCACAGTTAATACCAATGCTTTCCAAGAGTTCATGACGACCTTATGAAAATATATATGGCAAGAAATCAAGTTATACATCTAAAATGGAAAGTATGGCTTTTAATTTCCACAAATGTATTATGGTGATAATTTTAAAAGTTTGGAGATCATTCAACACAATACATTTCGATTCAGTATCCTGATTATAACAATAATAAATGCTCAAATACCAAAACAGAGATCAAGAAAAGGGGGGAAATATCTCCAAGCATACGCAAGATAAAAAATACTATATGTACAATTAGAGAAACAAATAGAACTTAGTAACTTACTGATGTTATGAAACATTAGATTACATCTAAGTTTGAATAGAAAAGCTTCAATTTTTAATGTAAAAAACTGCAGAAGGCAGTGAAATAATTGTATCTGTGAGAATGCTCTTTCAGCAAGATGCAATTCTGGGGGAACATGCATCTAACTGCATGTGACTTCTAATAATGTTTTGCCTGGAAACTGCATTATTCCCTGATGAATGTATGTTCTAATTTCTTTTTCCCTTGCTCTTTGGTTTCATTTGCAACCAAATTTAGAACGTTTTTCAATGAAATTCCTTCATTATACGACTATTAAAGTCTACATTTTCTTTATCAGGAAACGAAATGAAAGGTTACAAAAAAAATTATCATACGAAAGTGCTAGTCTGGTCATGTGTTTTACCTTCATAATTTTCTTACTCCAAAATATCAAATCTGGACTGCAATAATTTAAATTAAAGTTGTTAAGAACATAAATCAAAATATAAACCTGTAGCCCTAACAAAGAGATTAATATCTCAAAGAATTCAAGTTTGATATACCTAGAAAGGTAGACAATAACTGTTGTTAAAGCCACCAACTTATCACATCATGCAGGTCGGCTGAAGGGTAAGGCTACTTATAAGTTCAAACTTTAGCCCACCAACTAAAAATTATTGGCTATTAGATATTGTAAAGCAAAAAATGGCAACATATGATGGTAAAAAGGCCCAACATTTAGTTCTTTATACCAAGTACAAAAGTCCATCTTAAATTTTACTTTAGATCTCCATCATTGTTGGGACAGCCTTGCATCATGATCTTTGTTGTACACATTATACCATTTATTTGTAGTTCTAGGAATTAAACAAGAATTCGAAGAGCATAGAGAAAAGAGGGAACTTTACGGATGAAAAGGTCCCGAACAATTTCCTTGAGATTTTCAAAGAGTTACAAAAGTGATTATTACCAATAAGAAAAATTGTCTTCTAATATATTAGTTAACTTCCTACTTATAGCTAACTAACTAACCGAACAGTTTTCTTCTCTAATTGGAATTGAACAATTTAATGTCCTAATTGAATGACACGTGTACAAAGATCCAACCCCTCACTATATATGTTTTATTTCATATCAATGCCCCTCCCTTGGAAACATCGTTGACCTCAAGGATGGAATGCCGGGTATTTCTGCCACAAATCATAGTAGAACTCCCAAGTTGCATCCTCCTGAAGTTGATGTTTCCACTTGACCAAAACTTTAATTACTGCAGCTCCTTTACTTTTTACAGTCATTCTATCTAAAATGGCCTCAGGTTCCCTTCCAGCAAATGCTTCTTCAGTTTAATAGGGTAGATTGGTTGAGGTTACCGCATCTCCAACATGTTTTTTAAGCTGTGATACATGAAATACATTGTGGACCCTAGAATAATCAGAAAGTTCCAATTTTTAAGCTATTGCCCCAATACAATCAATGATTCTGTATGGGCCAAAGTACTTGGGGCTACTCTTAGCATTGCTTCTATGAGCAACAGAAACTTGCCTATAGGGGTGTAGTTTAACATAAACCATATTAACAATCTAGTACTTCTAGTTTGATATATGCTCGTCAGCTAGCTGCTTCGTCCTTTCCTGAGCTCTCTTTAAGTGGAACTTGATCACTTTCAGCATTTCCTCCCATTTTGTAAGACTTCTGTCCACTAGCTCCACCTTGGATTCCCCTAGAAGGTATGGAAAATAGGAAGGAGGGGGTTGCTTATACACTATCTCATAAGGTGTTGCTCTAGTAGCAGTATGATAAGTAGTATTATACCACCACTTAGCCAAAGGCAACCACTTGAACCAGTTTTGTGGTGAATTAGCACACATACATCTCAAATAAGTCTCAAGGCATGTGTTAACCACCTTAGACTGTCCATCAGTTTGAGGGTGCTAGCTTGTGAAAGCTGAACCTGAACCCCTTGAAATGACATAAGGTCTTGCCAAAAATGACTCACAAACACAAGATCCCTATCGCTGGTTATGGTGTCTGGAAACCTATGTAGCTTAAACACATTACACGAGAAGGATTGAGCTACATCCTTAGCAAAATAAGAATGTGACAAAGCCATGAAGTGAACAGCCTTGCTCAATCTGTCCACCACTACAAAAATTACCTGCTTGCCATAAGATCTAGGCAAACCCTCTATAAAGTCCATAGTGATTTGTTGCTAGACATGTTCAAGGAAAGGTAAAGGCTGCATCAGTCCAGGACAGGCAGAAGTATCATACTTACACTGTTGACAAATAGAATAATCTTGAATGAAATGCTTAACATCACTGATTAATCCCTTCCAATAAACCACAGCTTTTACTTTCTTCATGGTTGCACTAATCCCTGAATGCCCACCAGCAATAGATGCATGTAACTACTGTAGAAGATCCTTTCTTAGGACAAAATCATTCCCTACCACCAGCTTCCATTTCCTTCTCAATTCCCCATTTTGCCAAATCTAGTGCTTATGAGGAGCTAAGTTTCCCTGAACTTCCTTGATTAACTTCTGCAAATTCAAGTCAGCAACCCAAGATTGATGGATTCTATCCAACATGTCAGATTGTAACTAAAGAGTAGTCAAACTATTATATTCAACCACATTAATCCTAGAGACAACATCAGCCACCACATTATCCTGGCCCTTCCTATATTCAATGGAGAAATCAAACTCCATAAGCTTTACTAACCATTGTTGCTGAAAGTCCATGGTCCACCTTTGATCCATGATATACTTGAGACTGTAATAGTCAATTTTCACAATAAAATGCCTATTTTGAAGGTAGTGCCTTTATTTCTAAACTACAAAAACCACAGCAAGCAACTCTTTCTCATAAGTTGATATCGACTGTTGTTGCATATTCAAGTTTCTACTGATATATGCAATAATGGGATGATTGTCTTGCATCAAAACTGCACCAATCCCACACCTTGAAGCATCCACCTCTACCACAAAAATCATGGAGAAATCAGGGAGTGCTAGAACTGTTGTCCTACTTAACAACTCCTTAAGCTTCTAAAATGCTTGTTTAGCATTTTCAGTCAATACAAAATTATCTTTTCTCAGCATATTAGTTAATGGCTTGGCTATAATTCCATAACCCTCTACAAACCTTCTGTAATAACCTGCTAACCCGAAAATCCTCTTAGCTGCTTGAGAGATTGGGGCAAAGGCCACTTAACTATAGCCTCAATTTCACTGGTGTTTGTAGAAACTCCTTCACCAAAAATAAAATGTCCCAAGGAGTCCATTCTTTGTACAGCAAAATAGCACTTTGATCTCCATGCAAATAAGGAATTAATCATGAGAGTAACAAGTACTTTCCTCAAATGTTCTAAATGATCTATCAAATTCCTATTATAGATGAGAATGTCATCAAAGAAAACTGGTAGAAATTTTCTCAAAAAATGCTGAAACACTATATTCATGAGACCCTAGAAAGTAGTGGGAGCCTTTGTGAGGCCAAAGGGCATCACCACGTACTCATAGTGCCCTCCATGCGTTTTGAATGTTGTCTTACACACATTTGCAGGGTCCATCCTCACCTGATTATAGCCAGCCCTCAAATCAATTTTGGAGAAGACCATAGACCCATTCAACTCATCTAACAAGTCATCTACTAAGGGAGTTGGAAACTTGTTCTTCACAGTACCCTTGTTCAAGTCACTGTAATCCACACATAGCCTCCAAGATCCATCTTTCTTTCCCACTTACACCACCGAACTTGCATAGGGACTACTGTTGTCTTGAATAACTCCAGACATCAAATATTCCTAGACAAGCTTGTCAATGATATCTTCCAAATTCTTAGCATACCGATAAGGTCTTTTATTCACTAGGTTGGCTTCTTGAATCAAGGGAATCTTATGATCATGCCCAGACCTAAATGGTGGTAATTGAGATGATTCTTGAAACACATCCTCAAATTCATGCAACAACTGTTCCACTTTTACTGGTAGGGCGGGTTGCTTAGCATGAATAGTCAAGGATTACAGTAAACTATCGTCACCGGTGTAAAGCTGCATCATGGATAGATGGACTCCCTTAGCCAAAGCCTTGTTCAATCATTGCTTCTTTGCAATTTTCACACTATTTGATGTTGCTACTCTCAACTCAGACCTTTTTCCCTAAGCCTCAAACTTCATAGTTAGCTTCTCCAAGTTCCAATTGATGTCTCCTAATGTTACCAACCCCTCAATTCCTAACACTAAGTCACAACAACCTAAAGGAAGCAGCAACATGTCTGATGTAAAGGTTGTTTGTTGTATAGTCCAACTGAAATTCTTGACTATTGAAGAGATCTTAAGCTTAGAACCATCTACTACAACCACGTTATTAGGTTGTAATTCCTCAATTCTACAACAATACTTCTTAGCAATTTTTACATCTGAGAAGTTATGTGTACTGCCACTGTCGATCAATATATGCAAGGGTCTTTTTCGATGATACCTTGTAACCCTCATAGTTCTAAATCCAACCACACCTGTTAAAGCATTTACTAATATTTGGGGTTCTGAGTTCCCTGGGTTCACACTTAAAGCTGTAATAATATCCTCCTTTTCATCCATTTCTAAAACATGAAGTTGGAGCTCCTTATGAGATAAGTTGTGCTCTACTGAATATGCCTCATTCCATAAATAGCAGAGCCCTTTGGACCTCCTCGAAAGACTAGGTTCTAGTACCTATAGACACCAGATTTTGTCTGAGCTACTCTTACTAGGGTTAGGAGACCTCTAGAATGAGAAGAGCATCCCTTGAGGGCCCAATAAGGCGCAAAAACGGACCAAGACAGAACCCAAGAGGCCCAAAAGACACCATTACACAAAAAACCCTAATTTTGGTGTCGAACAACCGTTCCCAACAAGAAATTTGAACTAAACCCTAGTCCGGGAACGACCATTCCCATTAGGCATTTCATGTGTTATTCTGAGGCGCGAAATGACCGTTCCAGTGTTAGGAACGGACGTTCCCTATCCCTGGGCACCTAGAAAAGTATATTCAGGGCTCATTCTTCCACACACCTCACACCTGGCACAGACACCAGTCAAATTTGACTACCCCCCTCTCTTTGTAAATTTCTGAGTGAGTGAGATTTTTTGTAGAGGGAAAGGCTACTAAAACGCGCCTTTGTACGCATTCTTGAAGATATTTCTATTAAGGTTTGCTTCAAAGGTTTTTAATTCTCTCTCTTCTTCCTCTTCCCTTTTATTTGCTTTATTAACAACACCATTCCCATACAATAAATAAATAAATAATCATGTAGATAATAAGCATTTGTCTTATAAATAAAATGTGACATAAATTATTGTATGCTTAACGGGGTAAAGACTTAATTATTATTTTTATTATGCTAAATTTATCATAGGGTACCGAGTTAGGGTGCTGTGGGGTGCCTAATACCTTTCCCACACGTAACTAACCCCGAACCTGATTCTGGCTATGAAGGCCGTAATTAATTTTTGAAAAAACTTTTCTTTAAGCATTACAAAGCTGGTGAGATTTTCAAAATAATGTTGAAACCATCTGTGAACAGGATTGAAATTTTTTGGGTTCCGAAAGTACCCTTTTTCTGAACTTTTCCTTGTACATTAGTCTAAACCTATGAGGGGTTAGCAGCCTCATACATTTTTGCTAAGACAAAAGCTCTTCGAACTATAGATGGCTGAAACATGCGAACCATCATTTGTACATCCTTCTTGAGACCTCCAATAAAGCAACTCAAGGTTTACTCCTCTGACAGATTCAATCTTGTGATAATTGAATCAAATTCCTCATGATAGTCACATACAAAATGTTTCTGCCTCAACCTCATTAAATCTGCCATGGGATCATCACAAATGTCACCAAAACATTCAATCAATAGCATAGTGTAATCACCCCAAGATAACAAAGACAAAGCAGGGAAAAAGTTTGCAAGAATCGCGTGCTATTACAAAACACAATTCTCCAAATGAACAATAGCAAGTTTCACCTTGAATTCCTCAGTTGTATTATCGATCAGGAAGTAATTATCACATTGATATATCCATTAATTAACGTTTTCCCCATTAAAGCGAGGAAAATCAATCCTAGCTAACCTAGTTCCAAGATTGCAACGCTCGCCCCTCAGGTTATAATTTGCATTCTGATTACGATTATCTTCCTCAAACTATTGTTTCAACAATTCTTGCATCGCTTCTTTGATAGATGTTCTTAATGTTTGTTTGAGCGACCTCGCCAGCTCTGTGAACCAAGAATCCATGCGTACCGAGAGACATTCTTCAATATCCTTCAACACTTAGAATATGATACCAGCTCCATGAACCAAGAATCCATTACGAGTAGCATCCACCATAGCCAAGAACTCTGAATGGATAGTACAAACCGATACCACTTGTTATGAATATTTGTAGTTCTAGGAATTAAACAAGAATTCGAAGAACATAGAGAAAAGAGGGACAAAAGTGATTATTACCAATATGAAAATTTGTCTTCTAATCAATTAGTTAATTTCCTACTTATAGCTAGCTAACTAACCGAAGAGTTTTCTTTCCTAATTGGAATTGAGCAATTTAATATCCTAACTGAATGACACGTGTACAAAGATCCAGCCCCTCACTATATATGTTATATTTCATATCATACCATGTCAAAACTTCGTATTCGTTTGGACTGTAGACATTTTAAAATTAACATCTACTTTCTCGCATAATTTACACGAGATACATACCCATGCAAAGCAAACGATTTTCTGTAACATCCTCAGCAAGAAATAATCTCTACAAGAAAACATTGATTCATTCTCACTGGCATAATCTACAAGTAGCAGCTGATGAGGTCTCACCGTGCTGACAATAACTTGCATAAACTGCATTGTTGACCACACCATACTGATCCAACTCGTAATCGCGCACTTTCAGTTCGACATCAAAGAACCCACTCATTCTGCTATATCACAAACAAGTGTGGGTTTGTAACAAGAAAAGTATTTGCTATGCAGTATGAAGATTCAACAAATTAACCTTAAATTGAGAAAGAACAATAAGTTTAAAAAGAGAGAAGCTCGAATGAAAATTGCAAACATCACAGGTAAAGACATGGAAATTAAACGTAGTTTGTTGTGGGAACCGTCAATTGCACAAAATGGAGACCCTATTTCAAGTTGAGAATTTAACATCACAAGGTACCGAGTTTGAAGCACAAAAGAAGAAAAATGTGTATGTACCCTTTTCCCCCTCTGAGATCGAAGAGTGATGCAGAGGCGCTGGAATTCACCGGGAGAACTGATCGAAGAGACGCCAGTTTAACCCGCCGCCGGGGAAAAGGAAAAGAAGGAGATTGGCGCAGGAGGCGACACGACGTCGTATTCAGGAATAATGGCGATGGCAATTTCATCGTAGGAGCAGGGTTTGAGAACATTTTTTTCTATGGTGCAACAGCATTGTGATTGTAGGCGTTATAATCCATGTTTTCTACCCCAACTATCTGCTGCGTCTAACATTTTGTTTTTAACTATACTATTGGTTAAGCCACCAATTGTGTCACAAAATTTTGGAATATTTTCTTTTTTGTTGTATTTTTTTTTTTCTTTCAAATTATCACTCATTTTCTTATCTTTGTTTAAAAGGAACTACCATTTTATATGTTAAATGTTTATTGTATATGATTAAAATTTATATATTATTATATATAAATAATATTATATTTAAATGTATAGTTATATTTAAAATTTATATAAATAAATATTTTTAAAATATAAATTATATTTTAGATTTTAGATGAATATTAAAAATAATATATTTATTTGTCTTAAATATAAAATATTATTTATATATTTAAAATATCTAGTTATCCTAACTTTAAATATGTTTTACATAATTAAATATAGTATTTATTTATATATAAATTATTATAAATTTTAGTTATATGTAATAATAAATTTTTAGAGTGTGAAATGTAAAGGCTAAAATACTAGTTCGTAAATAAATATGATAAATAAATAATTGAATTAGATAAGAACTTATAAGAATTTCAGAAGAAAAAAAAATCTTTCATTAAAGAATAGCCCTTGAAATGTTTTCATGCAAGATAGTGGTTCACATTTAATATATAGATATTGATTATTATAAATTTTAGTTAAATATAATAATAAATATTTAGCTTGTGAAATTGATAGGCTAAAATACTAGTCCATGAATAAATATGATAAATAAGAATTGAATTAGATAAAAAGTTATAAGAATTTCTAAAAACTTTTGGTTGAAAATTTGTTCTAAAAAAATATTTTCATACAAGATAGTATAATAACAAATATTTAGCCTGTGAAATGTACATGCTAAAATAATATTTCATAAATACATATGATAAATAAATAATTGAATCAGGAACAAAGTTATAAGAATTCCTAAAAATTCTTACATTGAAAAATAATCCATAAAAACGCTTTAGCCTAAGTTAATCATTCGCATTTAATATATAAAAATTGATGATTTGATAATTTATTTTAAAATATTAAAATTTAGTTCATAGCTCTAGGGTATAACATTTGGCACCCATTTTCATAAAAGATAAAATAAGTATTTATTAATAATTTTGAGTTTTTTATTTTAGTAACAAGGGTTGTTTAACATTTGTTTTAATTATTTAATATATTTTAGAATATGATATATATGATATTTTATAGTATAATATTTTATTAAGAAGGGAAAGAATTTGTAACTTGGGTTAATATGTTTTAGCTAGAAGGTTAAAGGGATAATAGGATTTTCCTTTAAAGAGAAGATTTTTTTCTTATGCCTTTATTTTCACATATGTGCTTTCGAGCTTAGAGAACAAAAACACGAAGAAAATCACCTCAAAGTTGTGCATCCGTCATCTAGAGCATATCCATGTAAGGGGAAAGGGAATAAGAAACCTCGTTCTAAGTGTTGGTTTGTATGTCGGCTAGTGGGACTGACCCTCAATCTTATGTATGTTGTTTGTTTATGTATGAGGGATTTCCCCTAATGCTTTTGTTTTTCTCCCTATTCTTGATGGGCTCCTTCCTTCCATGGTGTGTTCTTTGGCTTCCAAGGAGGAGCTCCCTCTTTCTCCACGGTCTAGGAAGAAGGATGATGGCTGGATGTTCCTCAAGGGTGGTGGAAAAACAATATTGAAGGGTGGAGGTGAAGGTGGACGAAAATGGAGGTGGGAAGGTGGAAGGTGTTTTTGGTGCTCTTGGCTAGCTCTCTCCACCAAGGGTTGGTGGAGGCCACTCAAGGGAAACTCAAACTCTTTAGGGTAGAGAGGAGAGGAGGTTAGGCATGAGGACCCTAGGAGACTAAGGAAGGATTTTGAGGCACAAAGGCTCACTCAAAATGCATATATTCCAAAGTGGGTACAAGGTGGAGGGACTAGAGTACTTATAGAGAGAGAAGAGCATCCTAGGGTTTCTTGGGAGCATTTGGCCAAAAATTTCAAGCCCAAATGCATCCTAAATGAACCCTAGATGCAACCCAAGTGAAATGGCTCTCATCTCTCTGAAAAGACTAAAGTACCCTTAGTCATAGAAAATGAAAGAAATGGACTTTTGACCTTACTAGTCAAGGTTAAGTCCCTAAATAAATCCTAAGACTAATTTTGCCCCATAATACAAAGGCTAAATAAAAATACAAAATAAAATCATAATATCTAATGTACCCCAAAATACAAGGGCAAAATAAGAAAGTAAAGCAACAAGCTAATGAAAGAGCCCAAAATCCACAAAAATGATGATCATGGCTTTTGGTGTGGTGTGTTCTTCATCTTCCTCTACTCTCCTAGCCATGGACCTTGTGATAGGCCCTATATGATGTCTCAAGGATGGTCCTCCATCAATTCTTCTTACTCATAATTAACGGCATAAATTGTCCAAATCTATGAGTAATTTTATGTTTTGGATGATAATTATATGATTTAAGGTCTTGTGGGTTCCCATAGGAAACCCTAAGGGGACTTGATGTGATTTTGAGTAAAGATATTGGTTATATGTGTAAATTGGGTGATATGAATGTTAATTGCTTGCTATAGGTCAGTAGACACCTAATTTTCTTCGGACCAGTAAATTGAGAAATAAACTTCTATTTTGTGAAGAAAAGGAGCTCACAAGCAGGGAACCAATAGAAGATGACATCAGGAGGCCTAAAGCACAACAAAAGCTGATTTAGTAGCCTAGAACGGGTTGTTCCCAAGCCAGAAGTGCCTGTTCCCAAACTAGAACGGGCTGTTCCCAAGCTGGAAGGGCATGTTCCCAAATTGTAACGTGTAGTTCTTAAAGTGGAACGACCATTCTAGACTACTAAAAAAGGCCTAAAACCCTAGTCTGGAACGGGCCGTTCCAGCACAAGAAGTTATGTCTTAAACTCAACTCTGGAACGGGCCGTTCTGATATAAGAACGGGCCGTTCCAGATACGAAATTAACGTATAATGAAGGGGTCCAAAACGGCCATTCCGGATCTGGAACGGGCCGTTTTGGCCACTTTTGATGTCTATAAATAGCAAACTCAGGCACTACTCCAGGGGCCAGAAAATTCATATAGAACTCCATATATAGCTCAAAATCTCTCTCCCTCTCCCTCTGTTTTGTATTTCTTGAGATTTGTGTGGTATTTGTGTAGTGTAAAAGGTTGCCACAAAGCACCTAAAATCTCTATAATTGAAGATCTAATAAAGCTTGCTACGAGGTATTGTTCATCAATCTCTTGCTCCATCTTTTACTTCTTTTTATTTTAAATATCTTTATAATAAAAGCAACCGTGTAGACATTTTAGGATCAATCATGTAATTTAAATTTCACGTATTTAAATAACTATTAATAAAGGGGATTAAACATTTAACTTATTAATTCTTACTATGCTAACTTCATCATAAGAGTACCAATCAAGAGCATTGTAGGGGTGCTTAATACCTTCCCTATATGTAACCGACCCCCGAACCCAATTCTGGTTACACTACAAGAAAATGACGATTTTGTGACGGTTATATGGCCTACATTGCGACGGTTAGAACTGCCGCAAAGACAACATTGCGACGGTTTGGGAACCGTCGCAAAATTGTCCGTCACAAGGGAATTTTGCGACGGTTATCAGAACGGTTGCACAAACCGTCGCAAAATTGGAATTGCGACCCCTGAAGCACCCGACGCACTAACTGCCTCTATATTAACATTGCGACCCTTTCATCAACTGTCGCACCAACTGCCTCTAAATTAATATTACGACCTTTTTTTACTCGTCGGAAATTATAATTTTTTTTAATTTTAATAAATTTATTAATGTAACAATCCTCATATTTGGTCTCTCAAGGATTCTATTTCACTGTTTAGCATGTTTTATCCTTACTTGTGCAATTTCTGGGAAACTTCCTAGAAGGTCACCTGTAAGACCCTAATTTTCAAAAAGTTTATTATTATTATTATTATTATTATATGGTATTTGGTCATAATTATTTTAATAATTAAAGAGGAATATTATTTTGTACGTTTTAAATAATTATTGTTTTGGACAATTATTTTGTACGTATTAAATAAGTATTTTTATTAGCATTTTGAATAAATGTTTATATGTTTTAAGAGAAGGTTGATTCTATATGATATTTTGTTATTGAAATTATATTATTGTATTTTAAATAAATATTTATATGTTTTAAGAGAAGGTTGATTTTATATGATATTTTGTTATTGAAATTATATTATTATATTTTGGGTCAGAAATATATTATTATTATAGAGGAAAAATATTTTATAATATACATGTATTTATTTTATTTAATTATTTTGAGGAAAAAGAGAAGTGGGTTAGAAGAGAAGGAAAATGGGTTGGGTTGACTCAGCCCAATGGATTAATTTTAAGAAAGGAGTCGGGTAGCATTAACCCTATCTGCCTCATTTGCGTTCTAAAGGGTTAGGAAAAAAAAGGAGAAACAAAGAGCTCTAAGGAAGAGTACTTAGGAAGGATCACACCAAGACATTCGTCTTCTGCTCATCCAGGTATGAATATTTCTGTTTTGCCTTCTGATTACTTTGTTGTGTTCCTTGTTGAATGTGATGTATAAGTATGTGATTAATTTTGAAAATAAAGATGTTTCGATATGAATTAGAATGCTCTATGAGTTCCTACGGGAAACCCTATGAGAAAACAGGAAAAATATGAATATTTTCTATTTTTCCTTCTGATTGTTTTGTTGTGTTCCTTGTTGAATGTGATGTATAAGTATGTGATTAATTTTGAAAATAAAGATGTTTCGATATGAATTAGAATGCTCTATGAAAACAACTTGTACATCTTCTCCTTTAAAATATTAATCTTTTCTTCACATGTAGAAGGATCAATCTTTGAAAAACAGAATCGAATAGCTTCAAACTTCATTCGTGGATCAAGAATAGCCCCAATAGCAAGAATGTCACAATAATGATCCCAATACTTACTAAACTTGTTCATCATATTCAATGCCATATCTTTAATTGTCGGATC